GTCTTCAATTGTGGCAAATTAAATGCTGTAGGTTCTTTGGGCTACAGGCTTGGGTTTTGCAAGTCTCAGAAAGAAGTTTTGTACTTCTACAATTTTGCTTAAAAATTGGAAATTTATGTATTCCATTAATCTTATTTATCTAATTTTGCTTCTATCTTGTTGTCAATATAGAGAACATCAGGTCTTATGAGACAAATAATGACTTTATATTTTCATTCTCTTGGTGGCGGTGGTTTTTTTTTTTTTTTTGGTTAGATCTGGTTTTACCCTCTTGATCTGTAAAGAAAATTTTTTTTGGTCCGTGTCTCTTGCAATTCCTATATGCTTTTGACTTTTTGATTTGTAAAGTTGTCGAATGCTCACCTGCATTTATAAAGCAGACTCTCCAAAATTTTTCGGTGATTATAGAATGCAGTAAGGGTATTTCTGCATTGGTGATTAATATGCTTGTTTATTATGTAATGTGATGTATTAAGCTTGAGGAGATGACTTGGATCTTTTGGAATAGCAGAGATTTAGAAAGCCGCCTTAGGAATTCTATTGTGATACTTGATAGTGGATTAAATTTCGGTATAATGTTTTTGCATTTTCTAAATTTGACTAAATTCTAGCAAGCAGGGGTTGATTTCTTGTTTATTTTCCTGCATATTTTATTTTTGCCTGTGATGCTTAATGCAAGTAATGCTATTATCCTATGTATAATCAGCTTACAATCCACAAAGAATTGCTTCTGAGTTTCTTATGAATTTATGATGATTAGGACATAGAAATAAATGTTTTTTGCTTCTTATAAGTAAACCTTAAAATGGTGGGATGTGCTTCTAACTAGAGAAGGAAGCCACTAGGTGATGGAGGCAATCTGCGTAACTTTTGTCGTTACCATTGATATGTGTTTCGATTTTTCACGTTGATATATTATTTTATTCTGATATTCCACATGTGCAGGTACAGGTCTAATTTTGATTCAAATGATTGGAGCACACAGTTGGCAAGGACTTAAAATTTAAAACTGGTTATGATTCAGAGGTGCAATTTGGGTGGACATCTCTTTGGGCAAGTGTTCTATTTTTTTTGCATTAATTTCCTTGTCTTCAGCTGCTAAGTGTTATGCATTAACTTAACATGTAACATCTATTCTAATTATCAGAATGTTGACTCGAAGTACAATTACTTATGTAAAACGTCAGGTTAATGTTCAATTTGAACCCAATTAGTTGGCTTACTCAGAACCTCAGAGATAGACTACCGCACAAAACAAATTGTACTTGTGCTTTTTTCCTATCTGGTGAGACTGTGAGCATGGGTTTCATGAAATATTTTCCTATTCCATTCCATTGAGAACAATGTGTTAATCTATTAATCAGTAAGGCATAAGATAGTCATTGGCACTTATCTTCTATTCTAATCTTCTGTATTAGATTTGTGTATAATACTTGTTAGACAGCCCAAAGAACAAATATGAAAAAGCTTAAAAAGAATAAATGAATTCAACTTGAAATAGATGTTCTATTTCAACTGATGAGATCAGTAGCATAATTTTGAGTGTGTTATAAAAATTAGCTCCTGCAGACTGCAAGATGCCATATCATGCCATTACTTTTTCTGTTTTCACTAATAGCCACTGTTCAAGGAGCTGCATGAGTTTCATTTACTAAACTCCCTGTTGCTTTATTGATGTATGAGATACATGATACACCTATTAGGAGCGACCCAAGAATGTTTAGGTTGTCTTCTGCTTCCTTCTGCATCATTGATCAACATCCTGGTTTCTAATAGTGAAATTTTTGTACACATCATCATGACATTGTTACTTTATATCCCATTATCTTGAAAGCAAGCTGATCTTTGCTTCCACGAATTTTACCTGCAGGTTGGTAACAGGATTATCAGGATGAGGATTCATGTTTGCGTAGAGCATGTTTAGCCTTCTCGATGCAACGAGGAAATCAAGTATAGAATCAGGAGAAATGATGAATTGAAGGCTGCAGCAAAGGCAAGAGGTGAGGTCATCAGTACCAAGAGGCAACCTGAAGGCCCCAAACCTGGTTTCGTGGTAGAAGGTGCAACTTTAGAGACTGTAACCCCAATTCCATATGATGTGGTCAATGATCTCAAAGGGGTTACTAAGTTCATACTGTGTTGGAGTTCTCTCCGTTTGTTTATCGCTTAAACAATTAAAGACTTGAAAATCTGTTTTTCCCCTCATAGACTTCAAATTAGTGCAGATTTGGTATTTTTTGCAATATTAGTAGGGCCATTGGCCATTCAGTTTTGTGTTTAGTGAAAGTAATGTTGACAAAATGATGATGTGGTACTTGTTTCCAACAATTTTTGTTTACGTGCAATGTCAATTTTGTTGCCGGACTTGAGTGTGTTTTCTGCACGGGATATGTCGTAGCTTCTGTGGATGAGCAATTTGGAAGTTCTTTGGTATAACAATGTGGTTTACAAGCATTATTTTTGTCTTTATAGAGTATTTTCTGAAACAAAGTACTTTGTACAAATATGGATGGTATATAATCTCCACAAGAATGAGTCAGTTGAAAGGCTGCCTGGGTTTTCTACTGGGAAAGAAGAGAGACCAAAGAAATGGCTATTGTGTCGGACGTAGATACTACAGTTTTGATTAATTCGACCCATAGGCTTGATGAGTACATGTAATTTTAAACAGTACAATAAGTAGAGAGTACTTCCCCTCGTGCTCTCATTTCCTCTGTTGCCACTCCTGTTGCTGGTGATGGTGCAGGTGCAGGTGTTGGCGGTGATTCCGAGTGAATATGATAGCCCATACGCTCGATATGGGTAAGTCCACAATCAGCATAGCATGGAAAAAGCTCTACTCCTTTCAATTTCATAGAAAACGCTCAACTGAACAATTAACCACGCACAATTAAGCACATTTGGTCGAGACATTCCTAATATTTAGTTACATTGTCTGATGAACTATGCTATCTCAAATATGAATTTTAGGTGTTTGGTATCCCATTCTCGTGTATTCACTAACTAGAAGCAACAAACAAATTTGATAGTGAATGTTTGAAGTGTTTCTTGGATAACTTTGATGTCCTTTTTTTTCTTTTTTAATTCCTTTTTTTCTTTTTTAACTAATAATTAATTATTGTGATTTCTTTTGCAAATAGTTTCCATATGCAAAACAAATTATTGAATAGACATAACTCCATAGACTACATGTTTAAAGATCCATTCATTTTAGATTTTACTAATAATCGGTATATTTTTTCTACATAAATTACAATTTCTATACTTGATATATTTTGCTTTTTGCTCTATACAAAACTCGGCAGGGCATTTTACATTTCCATCGCACGAAGTGCGTTTATGCCTCCTAGTCCCTAAAGAATACAGAGTAGTTACCCCCCATAAATTTGGAGGCAATTGCTACACAAGACAAGACAACCCTCAAACGCGTACTACCAAATACAGAATGCTTTCTCTTATAACCCTTAGGCCTAGGCTAAGGCCCGAAACCAGCTTCAGGACAAACAATTTTGTTGACTTGAATGATGGGAACTGGGAAGGTGTATCCTCTCAGTTCTAAACTGACACTGGTAGGTGGCACATGAATTTGCAGATATTTGGGGTGGCAGAACATAATAGCGGAACAGTTTGGTGCAGCATCAGTTGAGACTTCTATAAGATTTAAAAGAAGGGATAATTTCAGAAACCTCCACTGCAGTTTCTACAGTTTCACTGTCCTTCCTTGAGATTTTTAAAATATTATTAACCTTCCTTAAAAATAATGTTCTTGTAACAAATTAACCCAATTCAAAAAAATCAACAATAAAAAAAAAGATTTCAAGAGTGAGAAAAATATTTCATACCAAAAGTACCCTTTAACTTATTACTAGTTGGTTGACTTAGAATCAAAAGGAAATATTAGTTAAAAATAGAAACTAAGAACTAAACTCTAGTATAAGTATAATAGAATTTAGTAACAATAACTATTTTTTATAGAACTACATAAAATAACAAAATCAAAGTATTGGAGAGGAAAACTTATTAATTTGGAATCAAGATTTATATGTAAATTTCCTAAACTCTTAGTATCAGAATTTGAAAGATTTTGAAAAGGAGTTGAACAAGATAAAGTATGACCTTTTCAAGAAAAAACATCACAATAAATGGCTAATGATAAAAAATATAGAATGTGCTAAAATATGTTATCTTTGTTGAATTATTTCTTTAACTTACGGGATCCATTATTTCAGATGATTAGCAAGAAATTTCCATCATTTCTAATTAAAAAAAAAAACTCTCAAGGGTATGATTTTAATGGCAAAGCAAATAAATAAAAGTAGAAATTTTTTTTCTAACTATCTTGTTTGGATAATGTACACAAAGAAAAGAAAAAACACACCAAATAGTTTGGAAAAGAAAGGAAAGAGTGGATTATGTGCAGTTATATTTTATCCATAACTTAATAAAATCTAATTGTAAACATATTTTAATATACTTTACCCCTTTTTGTGTATTTTCATATTCATCTTGTTATTCTTATGAAAAATTTATGAAATAATAATATTTCAATAGAAATTTTAATCTTTTTTTAGGCGAAAGAAATTACAAGAACTACTAAAATACAAAAAAAGAATTTTAAAATGTTAACAATTATCGTTATAAATTTTAGTAATCAAGATTTTTAAATTTTTTATATTGCAAATCATGGTTAATTTAGTACAAGTGACTCAATTGTTTCTCTCCATATAAATACGTAATAATTTCAGAGTTGTAAGGATAGTAAAGTCATTTCACCATCCATCCGGTAAGTATTGAACCCTAAATAGCTTATAGGAAAGATAAGTGATATTTTTAAAACTTTTAAGGGATGGTAGTGCAATTATCCCTTAAAACTTTCTGAAATTATCCCTTAAAAGAAATAAGGTGTTCTGTCACTCTAATTCTTTAATTTCTGAATGACAATTGTCGAGGTAATTCTGTGTACATTTTGGCCCTGAAAGCGTACTCCAATATTACATGATACTGTAATAAGCCACAATAGTCCAGAGTCCATTTTTGGCCTGTGAATTTCCAGCGGCCATCTAACTACCATTCCACAGAGGGGTTCCTTCATCTCCCTCTACAAAGACCACACGAGTTCTTTTCTGTGCTGCAATCCACATTTGCAGGGTTGCTGGTCCAAACTAAATTCAACGTGTAGTTCTATGAGTACTGTTGATTTTGAGGCAAAAGATTTCTGCAGAGTTCAGCAATGGTAAGCTGTAGCCGATGTTATTTGCACAGGTCAATCAGGGTTGTCAACTTCGTTATTAATGCTATTGGAGTTGCAATGATCGCATACTCTCTTTGGCTGCTGAAGAAGTGGGAAGAGGGGGTTGATGAGTTGGATCTTGCATCACCTGTTCCTACACCTTGGTATGTCTTTTTTCTCTTCTCCTTTCTCATTTATGGGTCTCTGCTTTGTAGAAAAGCTGGAAAGATTTAAAAAAAAGGAAAATTGTATAGTGCAAAAATGCCGTTGTTTGCATGTTTTGTCTTGGGAGAAACATGCAATTAACGTATTATGCTAAGTTGCCAAGTGAACGAGAAAAATGTAGTTGCATTTTCAGATGCAAGAATCCATCTAAGTGGATTTTTCCACTCAAGGAATAAATTGTACTTCATCTTCTTGGCAACAATGTAAAAAACCCATAGCAATATGTCATAAAGAGTGAAATCTAGCAGGACATGACAGAACTAGATCTTTTAGCTGATTGGAAGTTAATGGTCAGACCTAGAAATCAGATCTTTTAGCTGACTAGATGTTAAAAGTCATGCTAGAAACCTCTAATCAGTTTTCATTGCTACTCAGAATTGGTGTTTAATCATATTTTGACTTCTCTCGTTGATGCAGTACATTGTAGTTAGTTGATTTTCGCAGAGAACTGAAGAACCTTTAGCTTCTTATCAACAGGTTTATCTATACATGTTTAGGTGTGGGAATCGTTGTCTGCTTGAGCACACTATTGGGACATTCAACTGCTAACTGTATCAGCAATTCTGTCCTCGCCGTGGTATCCTCATAAAAGTTGCTTCTGATGTTTAAACAACTCGTTATCTTTTTTTGCAGCGCCATGTGAAACTAAAAATCCTTTCTGACCCTGTCAAGACCTTTGAAGAATAGAATTATGATGTAGGGAAGAAATCATTTTAAGATTCGTGTCTAAATAAAGATCAAAACATCTTGTCATTCATTATGCATCATATATGCATATTGTGGATCAAAACATCATGTTATTCATTATGCATCATATATGCAGATTATGTTATCTTAACTATGCCTCAGTATATTGTTTCCATATGCTCTCTTCTTCTTGTCCAAGCTGTTATCATTGTCACAGTCTTCTACAAGACCAACTGGGAAATGGTATGTATCTAATTTTCTGTCAAAATTTCCAGTTCTGACCAGTCTCCAAATTATCACTTCCCTGTTGAGTTCGTTAAACTTTAGTTATTACCAAAGTTATAAGAGATTGTCCTTATAAAAGACTTCATTAGGCGGAATGAAAATTGATTTTGTAAAAGGCTAGTCTTACTGTTTAGATTGCTTTTGAGATTTCCAGTAGATCATCAATCTGAGTCCTGCAATAGGCTTTGTAGCAGTAATTACACGGCTTTTATCAAGATAACAAGAAGTCATCTGCCTTTACTATAATCCCTGGCAGCATCCACCAGGAGAAATAAGAATGTTAGTTCAGAATTTTAAATATATTTGTTGAACTATAAAATCCTCTAGGACCAGGAAAGTTCAGAATGCGTTTAGCTTTACTACTGCTTTTAACTTGACAAGATTGTTCGAGTTAACAACGTGTTCATATGTTGTTTGCACTTCTGACAGCAAATTTCCATATACGTAGATGAGAACCATGAAGAGTTCAAGAATTTTGTTCTCTTTCATGTGGAAATGTGTCGTCTGATTTCAATCTCAGTTTTGGTAGCCCAGGTAAAATTCTTTTTCCATTGAGAGAAGCAAAATGCTCTGCTTTCGAATAATTAAAAGTTAATAATAAATTGATTGCTTCCATGATTTTTACTGCAAAAGATACCATGTAAGTTTGCAATTCTCAACTGACATCACTTGATTTTATGCAGATTGTAGCCCTTAGAATTGTTTTTGATAATGGTAATGTACTGGCAAGAGAAATAATTACATTTGGTGGAAAAAGTGCCATCATGTAGATTAACAAGAATTTAAAAAACTTCTGCTAGTTGCTTTTTCTGGGAAAGTTCTCATAAACTTTGGCAGTGGTTTCAGTGGTTCATTAGGCTCAATGAATTTAGCAACCGTTTTCTACGTGAGAAACAGCCAATGCATGAGGAATATTTCCGGTAAACCGGATTACTTTATGGGATGTTCATGAGCAATATTTGATCCACAAACCTAACCATCTAAATACATGTTTTTTGAGGAAACTTGTCACCCAGTTTTAGTGAGAACTGTTTTTTTGTGATATTTTCAGCTGATTGTTGCTTTGCTTGCTGGCATCCTATGGGCAGTAGGATGTGAACCAAACCTTCATTGCAGCAGCTCTGATCCCCCAAACTTTACATACTCATTTTTGGATGATCGTACTTCATCATTAAGTGACTGTACCAGATTACCTGAAAGGTCTTTCCAGGTTCATAATATCGGACAAACGCTAAGAAATTCATTCGCCTAATTCAAGCTGCCAAAGTGAACTCAACTATCTGGCTGCAAGAAAATCCAGATTCATGGAGTGGTTTATAAACAGAGAAACAAGAAGAGAATGCTTTGAGTCGACTAACAAGCAAACTTGAATAGACTTTGGTTTGAAGTTACTGATAACATGCAATTTTGGAAGTGATGCTGGTTGCACTGTGTTAATAATCCATGTAGTGTTGTCTAATTTTCCATTTCTCTTTAGCCATACAGCCCTGCTTACTAACCTGTCACTTGCAGGGGACTGTTGCCACCTACTTTCCATTTTCTTAATCACACAAATGCCCAAAAAACCTTCAATATTTTGACAGTTTCAGCAGTCGATGTGATGTTGAAACTCAAGAATTGTCAATCTAGTCTCTTGAATCTGGCGCACCATACAGTAGCCATCCATTAGTGCAGTATAGGTAACTTCATCAGAACTCTGACCTCATTGAATCATTCCAGAGGATGTCCATTCTGCAATCTGGAAAAATGGATTTCTTTGTCCAACACCATTTCATGTACCAGCTTCTCCAGTTGTACCATATCCCTTTTGACACCAGCACTTTAGGGACTCTGACAATAAAATGATCAATCATCGATCGCTTTAAATAGTTCTTTATGGCACATGGAGCAAATACTTGAAGCATATCAAGCAGAGTAGGGGTTGTTTCCTTCTGCGAAAGCCAAATCCAGCAGCATGGACGCGGTGTAAGAATCAGGTGAGAACCCTTTGTCAAGCATTTCCTGAAAATGCATTTTTGTCTCAAGATATTCAACCCCTTTAAGAAATCCACGAACAATAGTATTCTGTATAAGATCATTTGGCAAGCATCTGTCTTCTTTCGTTTTCATGAAATGCCCTTTAGCTTCCTTTAGCATCCCTGCTTCACAAATGCCACTTATCAGCACATCATCACTGCATCAGGATGCTGTCCTTTGACAGGAGGATTTCGAAAATATCTTGTGCAAGCTCAAGCTTCCCGCTGCTGCAACTTCCATTGATGATGATGTTGAACATGCTAATGTGAAGGTCTGCCGGGCCAGTTTCCATCTTCTTTAATAAATTTTTAAAACATGTTTACAGTAATCCAAATAGGGCAAGGAGAGGAAATTCATTCAAGGCAAAATAGGGCAGTAAGACGTTTCAACTAACCATCAGGATTTTAGGATTTAATTAACGAACCCAAAATTGGGTTATTGAGAGAAACTGTGATGTAATCTTTTCATCCAAAATTTTATTATAAACGATAAACATCACCAAAAATGCATCCTAACACAAAGGAGAATTAAACTTATATCAAACTGGAACTGACTAAGAAAATAAATAGCAAACACAAATGCTTTGCGAAAACATCCAACTCCAGTGGTTTCTTTTAACTTGGCCAAGACAAGAATGGAATTTAATACACCATTGAAAGCTTTCAAAAGCTTCTAGGCTTCTATATCACATGGGGCTATTCAATCAAGCTCAATGTGCTGCCCTGCCAATCTTCCTTGATCCAGAAGATATGTGCATCTAGGGTAAGGTACTTCAATTCTTTTCCTGCAGCAGCTGGAAAGTAGAGAACATGAAGTTTCCAGCAAAAACACGTATTCTGAAAACGGATTTCAGACAAAAAAGTGAAATTCTGAAATTGAATCAAATTCACAGTTCAAAACATTTTGTTCAAGATGATACATCAAATCGACTTCCGCAAAATGAATGTTAAATAGAACCATCCGGTATGAGAATCCGCATGAAGAACAATATGGAGCATAAAGAATTTAAAGCACATACATTAATAATTTTTACATTATTTGCAGTAAACAAGACAGCAATCAAAAGTCCAAAAAAAAAAAAAAAGAGCACATAAGGTCTCTAAATATACAATAATAAGCGAATGCTGTCTACAATATCTCCAGAAGCAAAGCATTTGTACTGGTTGAGCTTTCCCACGTATTCAGTAGGAATCCCAGCATTTTGGACCAAAGCTTTCCAAACGAATGTCCTGAGTAACATTCTCAGGTAGAAATCTTCAGAGTTCCAAGCTGAAGGCCGATACAAGAAATTTCCTAGCCGAACTCAATCAAGACACAGTTATCAGCCAGAACAGATATTTGAGTTAGTTTTCCAGTCTACAATTGGTTAGATTATGTCTTGTCAGGTAAATTTTTTTTTTTTTTTTTTTTTATGTTTTAAAAAAACATAACAGAAAATGTAAAAGCTGACATACTTACAGGTTGCCAGGCACTAGAGTGTGGCATTTGCTGGAGTTTGGGGGGAAATAATCTGGGCTAAAAGCACTAAATCCCCTAAACTATAGCTCCACTTCACCCCCAGAAGGAAATAAGAAATAGTCATCCCTAAGAAATAAATAGTCGACAGTTACTCGAATTGAAGTCATGAAAAAAAAGACTCTATTGATCTTTATCTCTGTATCATGATTATTTTCCAACCGTACGGGTTCAATTCGGGGTTACAATACAGTACTGTATTTTTAACACTACAATTATTCTAAGTGAAGAAAAATCGCAAATGAAAATGAACATTCCATGTGAGAAATATTGAGCTAAAAACGGACTTTAAGCAAATGCTTCAACCAAACAATTGGCCGATGACACCTTTGCGCATGGGGATTTGTACAAAGCCCACAAAAACCAGCGGGCAATTGGCCGAGACTTCTTCACTTGTGCATGGGGATTCCACCATGACTTCAATATAAAAAAAGTATGGACCATTATTAGTTAGCAATTTATTTTTTCAATTTACATTTTTTACTTTTAAAATTTTATTTTATTTTGATTTTTTGATTAAATAATTATTAAGAACAAGGGTAATGTTATTAATTTGTAGCCTTGGATAGGAATATTTTTGTCTTGTCAAGTTAATTAATAAGGAAGGTAAATAAGATTTTAAAAAATTGAGAGAATTTAAGTAATATTATGACAAATTTCAGGAGAGGTTTCTGAAATTATCTCTTCCATTTTTTATGAATTTTTTTTAAAGTATGAAGACTCAAATTCGAGACCTCTCACTTACACTCCCTCTCCCCGTTGCAGTGCCCAAACCCAATCCTCCCCCAAATATTTATTGATTTACTTACCAAATTTGATTTATTTATGGGGTTTAGTCTTGGGATTTGGGGCCGAACATGATTGCTCGATCTGCCCCAACTAGCAAGAAACGAAGGGTCAGTAAACCTAGCCCTTACCAACGATGGGGGAGGAGAAGATTATTCGAGATCCCGACTAGAGAAGGTATGTTTAGGATTCAGTCTAATCTCCCAAAAACAGATTCAAGCGTCAACACTAGAGAAGCCATGTTTACGATTCGGTCTAGTTTTCCCAAAACAGATTCAAGTGTCAACACTAGAGAAGCTGTGGTTAGGGATACCAAAACAGATTCAGGCGGCAGCGTAGAAGTCCAGCAGTTGCCACCACTGGAGAAGCTGTCACTATCACAAGTTTCTAGGGAGAAACTCAAGGTATTTGCTGCTCTTGATTAGTTGCTCAATAAGTATTTCTTTATGCAGGGGATGCTTCCTATTAAGGCTTTATCTATGACGTTATTTGATTTATAATTTTATGGTGACAATTCTAACAAAAGTATTAAGAGTTTTGTTTATGAACTTTGGCAGCCAACTGTTTGTTGAAATTTTTTTTTTTTACTGAGCTTGTGGACGTAAAAATAACTTTTTTTTTTTTTAATTTCAGATACCTAGTGAGTATATTGTACCTGTTGCTCAATAGAAAGAACCTGCACATATTTAAGAGTAGAGGGCAAACTACTAAATTCTTATTAAGATCAGGACGATGTAGCTGTAGCTATGTTTGGTCAGTTGACATTGATGAGCAAGTCTCAGAATGAGTATTGATGCTTCAACTCCCTACTCTAGTTAGATTGGCTCAATAAAAGCTAAAAATTCCTAATACAGAGTCTATGAGCATCCAATCTTGTACATTTTCTCACTGCCAACAAGGGATTAAACCATTGGCATTGTGATCATGCACTGCCTGCTGCTACTAATCCACTATATCTGGTTAGCCATATTATTGCAAACTTCAAAATTTGAACAATAAGGGAGTTAAAAAGTAATGCATACATAAATGAAAAATTATTTTGACAACTATGCTGCTCTTGCTGTTAATCATCGTCTAAGCCCCCCACCTCTGAGACAAGCTTTTCTATATCTACATCAGGCAATTTCTTTATTGGGTATGAATGATCTAGAGGTGCAAGTTCTCATGGCCATCATATTATTGCCGATGATTTATTCTGCTTTCATCAAATATGGGTTACAAGACTTAAATTGTAAACTTTGTACACATAAATACTACTGGAGACTACAAAAATGCTGTTGAATGATACGCATGGATGGAAGCATTTTAGTAAAAATTTCTGACCACAATTGCAAGGGTCATAGGACTATCCAGCACATAGCAGCCACAGACAAGTAATATCTGAAATTACTGGAAAGAACATTACCAATCCATGGATGGCAGCTCTATTCTCTAAATCTGACATAAGCACCAGTTGTGGGCTCCAAACAAATTTAAGAGAAACTCATTTTTAACGGGAAAAAAAGGGAAAAGGAATGGTGTTCATACCTGACCAACATTTATAGATCTTATATGATCACACAGACTATCAGCATCCACCTGCCAAACAATATATTCCACGCTCACCAGCCAGCTAATGCAAATTAAAATGATGCTGCAACTAAGGGCATAAAGCATAGACAGCAGAGTCAAATCACATTCACACAAGCTAATTCAGGCCACTAAATTGATATCTAATAAAATGAAAACAAGCATTTAACAGTTTATGACAGATGGTGCTTAGAAAACATACAGATTCTTCTTTACTTCCCGGGTGGAGAGGTGTGACATCAAGGGTTAGTGTAGGGCTGCAAATGAATCGACTCGCGAGCGGCTCGAGTCAAGTTTGAGTCGAGTTCGAGCCAGCTCAAGTCAAACTCGAGCTCAAAATATTAACCTCGTTAGCTCGCGAGCGGCTCGCGAGCTTGAGTATATATATATTTTTTTTATTTTTATTTTTTTTAATAATAAAATTATGTATATTATATATATATTTTTTATTTTTTATTTTCATAGTGAAATTACGTATATATCCTTAATATTTTATTATTTATTCAAAAAAATATTATTTTATTTATTTTTTTAAAAAATAAAATTATTTTATTTTATTTTTTTCGAGCTCGAGCTTTTAGCTCGACTTGATTCGAGTCGAGCTCGAACTCGAAAATTGCCAGCTCGTCGAGTTTGAGCTTGGTAAAATTTAGTCGAGACTCGACTCGATTAGCTCAAAACTCGACTCGGCTCGACTCGTTTGCAGCCCTAGATTAGTGAAGTGTAGTCGAAATTTTCAGGGGGTATAAACCTACAATTTAAACCAATGTAAAAATTTTAAAAGCGAAAAGATAATATCAGAAACTAAAGAACAAGTACAAACAAAAATTTACAAACGGCAAACCTGCTGATAGATATTTGCATGCCAGGATCAACATTTGCCATATTCCTTTGAACAGAATTCATCCCAATGTAGCCCTTTGGAATGGATTTAAAGCTAGTGAACACTCAGTTAAGGCACAAGCATGTACATTTTAAGCTTAGCAGATCACAATATAGGCTCTTAGACCAACATTTGGGATTTTTGGGGATAGGAAGCATTAGCGTGCAAGAAATAGAGGACATGGGTACATATCTTAATATATGGAAGCTCAAAAGGATATTGGATTGACAGCACCAAATTGTCACTTAGGCGAGCCAAACGAGGAGGAGAAGGAAAATCTTTGAATCAGGAACAATCATCAGGTCTGAATTTGGCACTGTCCTTGGGGTTACAATAAGCATAGTTACTGAAGAAGCATCCAGAGTCCGGAATGTGTTTCACTATCATGGTCCATGCTTCTTCCATTTCTTCTGGCTACAATATTAGGAGATACTCTTGCAATCAAAGTGCAACCATACTCAAATCTCAATGTGCATGCTAAATACAATATGGGTGTTTGAAAAAATAAAAATGTAAAATGTATCAAAAACGAATCAAGGTTAAAGATTGTAAGAGAACTAACAATGTAGACCTGAAACTATCCTAAAAATCCATGGCAGTAACTGGGTTTTGGAATTAAAAAAAAAAAAAATAAGAACGATAGTATTAGTAACCTACCTGAGTCACAAAATCCTTTGCTAAGATTAACAAATCTTAATGGAATTTACCAAATGTTTCAGAGTTCTGCTAACCTTATTCGCTGTTAAACCATATAGATTAGTCACAGAAAAAGGACATTATTACTCATCATAGGACTAAATATTAATCACAAATAGATTTACTGAGTATTTCAAGTTCGACAGCCATGCTGGTGAAAATGCTGACCATCCTATAATTTTCATTCACTTTCAGAACATTTATGTAGGAAACTGGGAAAAACTTCAGTAGTCCCTATAGATTAGAGGCCCTTAATATCGAGGCATGTTTGTCTACTATGTAATGCGCATCTGACACTCTTGGCATTTAAGGATCATTATAAGACTTACAAAGATCAAATATAGTTTTGGATAAATTTGACCAGTTTGGAGATTCTAGAGGCATGAGTAAGACATAATCTATCTAAAATGAAGAGTGCTTTTAGTAGTATTAAGTGAAAATGCAGTGCACTGGCTTCTCTTGATAACAAATAAGAAAGGCAAAACAGTGAATGTCTTCCAACATGAGACCTTGCTCGGTTGAATGAGCATTAAAGCTACACGTACTGGCTTTCATGGATCAGCTTAATTATTACTGAAGACCTTTCTCACAAAAATGCTTCCTCCTAGCATTTAGACTCTCATACTAAACTCCTAAGGCCACACTATTTCACCGGCATTGAATTTAGGGAACTGCATCTTTTCTTTTCGAATAAATTAGGACTACAAGTTGAAGACAAGAATTATAAACAAAAATTTATGAAGTAATGTACAAATTTTAACGCCTCTATCCTCCGGCAATAGCCACAAGAGTCATCATTTTAATAATTCATTGGTTGTTAATGGACGATACAAATTTTCTTTCTCGTTTAAAGCAAATAGAAGACTTCGAAACCTGGGGAATCTAAGTCATGGTGGAAACATTTATTACTTAGTCAATATTCCTTCCTCCACCTGAGACTGTTTCGCTGAGAATTAGTCATCCGAGCTGCCATATCAAGCATGCACTTCTAGCAGGACAAAAACCATCTAAAAGATTCATTACCTCTAGAAAAAGATGAGCATCATCCCCACAGAAAACATTAATAATAATACTTGGTGAAGCAAGTTGGCGTGGGAGTAAATTCTTACCTGCTTTGCTTCCGGAAGAACCAAAGGTGGAGAGAGGAAGCTGCGGTCTCTTGAGAGAGAGTGGAGAGCAAAAGCCTTTTGCGGAGGTTTAAACTTAGCTGTTCTTCTCCCAGCTGGACCCACTGAATCGGGGAGTGGAGTAGCAAGGAAAAGAACGGCCTCCAGTCCAGTCCAGAATGCATGCCTGGGCAGGAGAGGGGAGACATTTATTTGATAGTGACGACATTAATTTTAGGACGTACGACTCTGTCTTTTTTAGCTACTTATAGGCCTGTTTGGAACCTCAGTTTTTTGGGAGTTTGTCTAAAACTTTACTGTAATGCACTGTAGAAGTTTTTGAAAAAATTTTGTAGAAATTTTTGTAAGGTGAAAAACTTTTTTGTAGAAGTTTTTGAAATGTTACTGTAGACGTTTTTTGGATTATTTTTAGAGGTATTTTTAAAACATATTTTTGAATATTTTATAATTTTTATATTTTTAAACATTTATGCATTTATAATACATTTATAAATATTTTTATATATTTATATAAAAATACAAAAATGTATTATATTATATATAATACGTAATATACATATATTTATAAATTTATAAATGTATAATTAATATAAATGTATAAATTATAAATAAATATTATATAAATGTATAAATTATAATTTATAAATGTATATGATGATTATGTATAAATGTATTAATATAATTAATACAAATGTATAAATGTATTAATATTATGTATAAATGTATAATTAATATTGTTTATAATTTATAATTTTTATTGTTTAAATATTTATATGCATTTATGCATTTATAATACATTTATAAATATTTATAAATAAATATATTTATATATTTCTATAAAAATATATAAATGTATTATATTATATATAATACATAATATACATATATTTATAAATGTATAATTAATATAAATGTATATATTATAAATGAATATTATATAAATGTATAAATTATAATTTATAAATATATATGTTGATTATGTATAACTGTATTAATATAATTAATATAAATGTATAAATGTATTAATATTATGTATAAATGTATATTTAATATTGTTTATAATTTATAATTTTTATTGTTTAAATATTTATATATATTTATGCATTTATAATACATTTATAAATAAATA